ATGCCATCCTGGCTTCCAAGAAGCCTCAAGGCCCTTTCAAGAGGGCCCCCCGCCTGCTTCGAATGCCGCCCCCCTCGCGCAACCCCCTTGTGTACGCGCCGCAACGATTTATGCGGCAGGTGCGCACAGTGTCGACGCAGCGGCGATACCTCATCGGGGGCGTTCCAGGGTGAGCTCCGCCAGTGGCGCAGAATCGGCCGACATCGAACGATCCTGCGTCGCGATCGTTCAAAGCTGAACGATCCACGCAGTGTCAGAAACCCACGCGCAGGTCGTCACGGCCTGAACCGGCGGTGCATATCCACCGCTTGTGGAACCGATCTTCCTGGACCTCGGGAGGCAGTGGACACGGACGACATATTCGGGCCCCCTGGGGCATCACTTGTTTACGCCCCCCCCCCGTTGTCTGGGGACACCACCTCCGCAGAAATCACCAGCTCGCATTTCTTTACGTGTTGCTTCCGTCGCCGAGCGAAGAATGGTACAGACGCCCCAGGAGGCCAGGTACATGAGCGCGGGTGGCCTGAGCGAGAGCTCGACGCACCCGCGGCCAGGCGTCTTTCCGGCGCTCGGCCCTCCGATGTTGCCTAGCACGCAGGCCTTCTGCATGTATGTCCAGTGCGTGGCCTCCGGGTGCTCCACGTGTCGATCCAGCCCTGGTTGTTTCCAGCTTCCTGGTGAACTTTCGGAGGTCCGCGCGGAGTTCTCGGCTCGGCGTCGGCGCCAGGGGATGGGTGTCCACCGCCGATGGAAGAAATCCGTCCGGATCTCGGAATGTAGATGCTCATGTAGTCTTCTGTTCGTCTGTGCCCTTCTCTACCTCTTCACCTCACCTGTAGTGGGATTTTGTCTTCCTGCTCGCCGTCTCACCGCCCATTCGACGCCGCTGCTTGCCCTTCCTCCCCAGACCTCTGACGTCGTGGCTATTTCACGAGGCGTGCCTTGCCGCTCTCGACCTCATCCCCAGACCGGGGCCTTCGTTGCCGGCTGTATTTTTTGACAGCTCCCCGCTCAGCCTTCGAGGTACTTGCCGTCGTGGTTTTGTTTGAGTGCCCTTGTTTTCCAGAACGCTCGAGTTCTGGGTTCACCTCTCCAGGCCCCCAGCGCGGGGCCGAAGAAGATGGGGACAGAGGGAGGGCTGCGAGGGCGCTGCGTCGGGGATGCCCCTGAACTCGGCATCGTCACGCCCATCCCCGTCCCTGGTGGGCCAGGTCTCCGCGCCGCCAGCCCACCCCCGAGGTGGTGGCAGATGCCGCGAGAACCGACGAAAACAGCATCTCTCCCCATACAAGGGGGTGAGCAGGTCGCGTCTTGGAGACTTCTTAGGCGGACTTGGACCAGTCATTTTGGACCATCTTGGGCGAACGTCCTCGTGGGAGTCTAATTATTGGGACCCCTCTTGGGCGCCTGTGGGGGCCTCTTGGCGGCATCTTGGCGGGATCGTGGGCCATTCTTGCACTAGAGGCCTCCCAGGGACAGTTCGAGTGCACCAGTCTGGGTCCCGAAAACATCGAGAAGCACAGCTTTGTCCAATTATTCCTAACCATCCTGTGGTGTTGGGTCCTCGTTTTGAAGAGACGGCGCCCCGCGTTCTCCTCCTCCTCCTCCTCCTCCTCCTCCCTCCTTCCTTCCCCTCCTCCCTCCTCCCTCCTCCGCCTCTGTGCCTCTGCCCTCCGCATGTTTTTATTTCGGCACACCCCTCACACTTTTCGTGGCCCCGTAGGGAGCTCCATCGACGGCCCCAGTGGCGCCGCCAACTCGCCATTTCGGCACACCCCTCACACGCTTCGTGTCCCTAGAGGAAGCTCCACCAAAGGCCCCAGTGCCAGGGCCCGCATGCCGCCACCTCGCCATTTCGGCACAGCCCTCACACGCTTCGTGGCCCCATACGGAGCTCCACCGAAGGCCCCAGTGCCAGGGCCCGCATGCCGCCACCTCGCCATTTCGGCACAGCCCTCACACGCTTCGTAGCCCCAGAAGGAGTTCTACCGAAAGCCCCATTGGCAGGGCCCGCATGCCGCCACCTCGCCATTTCGGCACACCCCTCACACGCTTCGTAGCCCCATAGGGAGCTCCACCGAAGGCCCCAGTGGCTGCGTCTGCATGCGGTTCAACCTCGCCATTTCGGCGAACCCCTCACGCGTTCCGTGGCCCCACAGGGTGCTCCACCTGAGGCCCCAGTGACAGCGCTCGCATGCGTTTCCATCCCACATTTTGGTGCATCCCTCGCACATTTCGTGGCTTGAGGCGGCACCGCCGAAGGCCGCAGCGGCAGGGTCCGCATGTCGCTGCCGCCCCATTTCTGCACACCCCTCGCGCGCTTCGTGGCTCCATGGGGAGCTCCACCGAGAGCCCGAGTGGAAAAGGCCGCCTGCCGCCGACGGGCCACTTTGGCACACCCCTCACTTTGGCACACCCCTCAAACGGTTCGTGGCCGCATAGGAGGATCCACCGAAGATGGGCACTCACAACTGCGGTACGTATCACTGCTTATTGTTGGGTCCTTCGCCAGGCTATTTTTGGTACTTCCCGAAAGGTAGCACGACAGCGCCCAGGAACGCACGGAAACGCTAAGAGATCGGGATCGCCCCCTAAATGGCTTTTCGCAGTACTCAATAGGGAGAACTCGGAATCGACTTGAGGACATTCCACTCAGTGCCCAGGACACGGCTCACAGAACGCCCTCGGACGCCCCCAGACTCCCGAGAATCCGGATCTTCGACCGTCGGCGACGTCGGAGGTCTTGGGCCAGAGCGTCCTCTTGTCCTGTACGCTGTACGCCTTCCTGCCTTCGTCAGCGGGAGCTTGCGCGCTGGAAACACGAAAGAGCAGCCGCCCTCCTCGTTCTCATCCTTCTTCGGCTGCCCAGTCCAGTCGTCTTCTCAGCCGCTAGCCGCCTCTTCCCCTCATCTCTTTCATCCTCCCCTCCACCTCCCTCCTCGTCCTCAACGTCCTTGTCACTCTGCTGCTTATCCTTGGCGTCGTCGTCGTCGTCGTCGTCGTCGTTCTCCACTTTGGCTCAGGGCTTCTTTAAGCGGCGCCGTAGCCTGCCTTCTTTCCTGGTCTCTTACCGCCGCGATTCGGCCGGTCTGCGCCGAGAACCACGGGATCTTCAAGATATTGTGCGCCTCTCCCTCCAGGCAGAGTTGGACATGGACGCGCTCGTCCCTGGCAGCCCTGCGAGAAGGCCTACAAGATGTTCCTGCCCTGGAATGTCAACGGCTCGCCTTCAATCCAGCTGGACGGACTTTGGTTCCAGCGGACAATACGTTTGTTACAGACACCCCAGTTGAGGTACTCGCCCGTCACCAAGATGCCATTCTTCAGAAGATGACCTACGACATCGACCCGCTTGCTTATGATTACGACATCGCCGATCGCCAGATGGATGCAGTGGCTCGTGGAGTGGGCGAGATATTCTCAGACGTTGGCGCTTTCGTCCTCCAGCCCTTCGTGGCCATGTGGTTCTTACGCCGATTCGAGTCATTACCCGAGATCACCGCCAACACCAATTTGGACGCCGTGGACCTTCCGAAGGACGTAAACGAGGATGGTCAGAACAGCGAGTTGAACAGCCGTTGGACTATGAAGATCTGCCGCTTCGCCCCTTCGCCAGGCATGTAGCTGGTGGGGGAAGGTGAAGATGATCCTCGTTTCGCACACCATCGAGAGCCTCCACCGCCCTTTGCTCCCGTGTGCGCCGTTTTCCTATGACAAGAAGGCAGCCCCCTTCTTCAGCGAAACGATAACCGTCGATTTTGTGGGCTCCGTTTCAGCCCACGCGCTTAGAGATTTTCCAGCGGGTCTACATCAGTTCCTGTTTCGCTGCTGTGGGCAAGCGTGGCGATCCCCACCCTGCGGACCTGAACTTGAGCTCGCACCTCCCGTTGACGAGGAATGTATTTGGGTGACGACTGGACCTGAAGAACCGTTTCCTGCTGAGCCCATGCATGCGCACGATTCCGATGCGCACTCTGATCCCAGGTGGGAACAGGCTTTGGAGGATTTCATTCGTATGGCAGAGACACAGCAGTACCCGGACACGGTCTCTTGATCATCCATCGTCACCCGTCCTTCTCGCCACGGTTTGCTTCCCCTCGCCCGGCCCTCCTGACGGCAGTTGAGGGCGCCTTGCTAGCCTTCGTGACCGAGGGCGGCTGCTGCTCGACGGCTCTGCAGGGCCCGGGGAAGCGGACGCGTTCTTCGGAATGCTTCATCTAAGTATGCGTCTTTTTGGAGCGTAGATCCTCCCCGTGGCAGGAGGCTTGCTTAGCATTGCCAGCTCGTTCCTTGTGCGTCTGTGCATGCCCGATGTGTGCTGCGTTCTGGGTTCCGTATTTTTCCCAGTTTTCTTTGTCGCTTCGCTTCTGCCCCGCCTGTGTCCCCTGGCTTCTTTGGGTTCCCCCGCTTGTTCGTGGCTGATTTCTTCGCTTTCGCTCCGTTTTCTTTCCGCGCTGACCCTACGCACTGAGGTCTGCCCTCCAATCCTCGTTGTTTGAAGCCCATCGGACACCTCCTTACCGTCAGGCTGTGAGAGTCCGCCCAGGCGGGCAGGGATCGATGATAAGGATGCTTTAATACCCTTGATCCTAAAAGGGCGCCCTGTGTACGCGTGCGCTGCTGTAACAATCAAGATAAGCACAGATACTACACACACACGCCTGCTAAATCCCCGTATCTCTGACACCCCTCCGTGACCATCGAGGCTTGTCCTCGTCGGGCACAATCTTGGAAGACGGGGGAATCGGAGACCAAAAAGTGGCGGACCTTTGTCCGGACCCCAAAACAGTGCGGGGGCTAAGCTTCATTAGACAGATGAGAAAACAAATGATATAATGAAATCCACTGCCCTTCAAGAGGGAAAATCTCCAAAAATCGGCAGAGCTGTGCCTAAACAGGCGTGCAAATATGGAACTATAAAACCACAGGGCATAAACGATATGGATGCAAACCAAACGGTACGAGGGAGAGGAGGCAGAGGAGGAGAAGGAGGGAAACGAAAATCGGAGGACTACCCCTCCGCATCGCCAGGCCGGGCTTTGCGGGCTCGGCGCGCCTCGCCTGCCGCTGCCTTAGCAGCGAGCATCTCCTGCGTCTGCGCTACACACCAGCGGCCCTCAGACAGCCGCTCTAGCAAGAAACTCCTCTCAGCCTCGGCCTTCGTCAAAGAGTCCGCGATCATCAGCTTCGTGTCGATCCACCTGACACGTATCCTCCAGTCATCTCCCTCTCGCTCCTGCCTCAGCACGTCATGGCCGAGTAGCTGGCGGATCTGAGCCATCAGGATCCGCACTCGCTTGTCAGCGGGCTGACCACCGTCCTTCTCCAAAGAGGTGACGAGGCCGTTCGCGTCCGTCAGCAGCAGCAGATGCTTGCCGTCGAAGAACGGGTCGAACTGGTAGGATGAGTAGCCGGGGTCGGAGATCTCGGCGATCACGTGCTTGAGGAACTCCGCGCTCTCGGCCGTCGTCAAGAAACCGTTGCATTCAGCTGCTAGCGATCCACGAACCACTCGCTTGATCGTCGCGCTAGCCCATTCCAGTGGATGTATGATCGCGGTGGCGTCCGTCTCGAGGTCGGGCGACGCCATGCCGATGATATAGCCGCACTGGGATTTGACCTTCTCTCCTAGCGTAAGGTCGTCAATGTTGCCATGGCTGCTGTCCCCGCAGCCGAACACGATGGCACTGTCCCAGTCCAGGCGGGATGAAAACATCAGCTTGAAATCAACGTCGTCCTTAGCCATCTTGATGGCACGATTCACTGCAACAATGTCACGAATCTTGGGGCCACTCATGGCCTGAGCCCCAAGTGAAGCGTGGACGGCCAGGTCGGGGCGCGTCTGCCGTGCTACCCAGCCAAGCGACCCAACGCCGCTACGGAGGGCAGAGATCTCCTCCGGGGTGAGTGGCGCATTGGGCTTGCGCCGGCGGTGCGGCTCGAGGGTGATGTACTCCAGCGCCTCGACCGTGGCGGCCTGTCCGATCTTGATGTCGAAAGTCTGGTTGTCCTGCTCCACGACCTTGCCGCAGTACCTGAACGTGTCGGACTGGAAGGAAAGGCGAATCTTGTCCTTGATGATCTCCATCACGCGCTCGAACTGCTCGCCCGCGCCCGTGACGAAGAGGTCGTCGACGTGCGTGCACAGCAAGCCGTTGAGCTTGCCCTTGCTGTCCCTGAGCATGAACAGACAGGGCTCGTAGATGGACTCGCGCCAACCCTGCTCCACGAGGATGGCGCGCAGATGCAGCCACCACTGCCTGCCCGCGTCCTTGGTGCCGTAGATTGCGCCGCGGGCGCGCATGTAGGACCCCTCCGGAACTCCAGGTGGTGGAGGACGAGGGGCTCGAAGAAGCAGGATGCGCTCAATGCCCTTGGACTGCAGGTAGGCCGTCGCAGCGTCAGCTGCCCTTATCTGCCACCGGTGGGAGGCAGCGTAGCTGGCGACCAGGTGGAAAGCCAAAAGGCTAGCAGTAGGAGCGTCGCCTCGGATATCATCTCCTCGTTCCTGGCAGCCCTGCACGACGAGCCGACTCTTGGCAGCGAGCGGGATGTCGTCGTAGGTCTGCTTGAGGTTGCGCTTCTTAGCGTTCTTGTCCGTGTGGACCCAGCGCGTCCCAACTGGGGAGGCACCCCTGTCGAGGAGCTCCTTGGCCTGGCTAAAGCTCAGCACCTCGACGGCCTGGAACTCAGTCCAGCTGCGCCACTCCTTGGCCATAGCCTGATCGAACTCCTTCCTCTGCTCTGGGGCGAGGTCTTGAAGTCTGATCTCGGAGCGGACCGCGCCTTTGGTGAGATAGGCGAACTCGACTGTGTCGTTCGTGCCCACGTCCTCGTCGGTGTGAACGAAGATGGTCTCGACCGCGGTGGTGCCACCAGGCAGAGGCCGACGATGGCGAGCATCGCGAAGAGCAAGACCTCTGACGTCGATGTCATCGATCACGATGCCTGTCTTGATGTCTCTGGTGATACGGCGAAGCACCTTGGACCAGCGAGGGCCACGCTTGTCCGTAGTGATGAACTTCTTGATGCCGTAGTCGGTGCGACGCCACTCGTAGGCGACAGCCAGGTCCGGCTTGTAGTCGCTGGTGAGGAACACTTCGTGGAGGGCATCCTCCATGACGCTGAACTCCTCCTCCACGTAGCCCTGGAAGGTACGAGGCTTCTTGATGGAACCCCGATCCAGACGCTCCGGATCGCGCATGGCTCTGTCCAGCTGGGTAAGTGACAGGCCTCTGCGCTTCTCCCCGCGCTCCAGGCCCACGCCCATCTCGTCGTCCGGCACCGGCTTGTCGACAGCCTCGTCATCCGGGGGCACCGGCTTGTCGATAGCCTCCTGGGATACTCGAGGATCGATCCGATGACCTTGAACTTCGGAATGAATGCTGGGCTCGCCTGGGCCGTGCGAGCGTGGCGGCCCCTCTGCCTCTGGTAGCCCCGGGCGTGGTGGCTCAGGAACCACAGGAGGTGGCTGATGCTGAGCTGGCGGTAGTGCGTCGTCGGTCTCCTGAATGATTGGAGATGCTTGTTGTGGTACTTCGTGTGCCGGCGGTGGAGGATCGACCCGCTGCTGTGGTAGATGGTCCTCGGTGTTGAACTCGTCGAAATCGAAATTTACGTCAGGTCCTGGTCCGGCAGATCCGAGCACGCCCCCAACCACCCCTCCGTGACCAGCCGCGTGCTGTTGCGGCCTGGGCATCGGGGCGGGCGAGGCTGCTGCTGTATTGGCCCGAATGTCGATGTAGTGCCTGGCCCCCTTCAGTGACCGAAGGGACAACAGGTCTGGGTTCACGTAGGTGTGCATGGCGAGCAGCTCGTCCTCGGAGG